TTAGAGGATATTTCTGATTGCAAGCTGGACAATGCAGCAATCAAGCTGGAGAAGCCACCTGGAAGTTTTGCTTGAGATGCTTTCTAACGGGGCTTCGGATCCCTGGGAGAATCATGCCTGCCTTTAAGCGATGTGGAGGAGGACTCGAGTTTCTTCTGCGGGGCCTGTCAGGAAGGGAGGGGGGGCAAAAAACGGCAGCCAGCTCTGTAGATTCAAGCCTGTGCATGCTCCACTTCTATTTCTTGTAAAAGCCTTGCTGATTTGCTTGAGGATTTCCACGTACTCCTGGAGAGCTTATCGGAATGGATTGTCTGTGCATTGTCACTACTAAGGTAGGAACTGGAAAATGTTGCCGTTTGCTTGTCTTTCATTCCCCGCCTGTGATTAAACAGACGGAAGATGTTCTCAGGCTCAGGTTGCGAGATGAAGTGATAACTAAAAGCCTGGCTTCAGCCGGTATTCAATTCCCCTGACATGACTGTTAAGCTCTATCTATGTTCTGATATACCTCCTTTCTAAACAATGTATTAATTGCCTTTAACCAGAAAGAGGCCTGCTTAGTGTGTGTGTCTTTGTGTGTTTTAATCTTAGATTTTGCTTGCATCTATTAATAACTCAGGTACTAGAGGACATGCAGAAAAAATAGCCTCTGTGCACACATCACTGCAGATTTTAATGAAAATGAGTTAGCTGCGGTTCACCAGTTGTTGCTTTTTGAAACTCTGAGCATTTCATACACTTTTGCCTTAAAAGCCAATCATGTGAAGTTTTGATAAGGACAGGGTTTCTGATTGGAGAATCCAAGTTTGCATTAGGTTAGCATGATGGCACAGTGGACCCTCCATATTTAGGGGCAGTTTACCTCTGGGGAACAAAGCAACACTCAGTTTGCAAGCATCCTGGAGGGATCTGGCTGGCTGTTCTTGGCAGCAGAATGTTAGTCTAAAGATGGACATTTGGACTAACCTGGGCTCTTCTTGACCTTTCTAATATGTTGTAAACCACTCTGGGATGAAGGGTGGAATATGAATTTAATTATTATTAATAATAATATATGCATGTTAAATAGGACATTAACCTCTCTCTGTGTGTGCAAAAAATATTTCATATGGCTCATTGCAACTATGCTTATGTCAGACCAAGCTCCTTTTTAAGTTGGAGGTGAAGCAAGGCAAAGCAGAAGGAGAAGCAAGCTAAAGGAGAAGTGGGTATGCAGACTTGCTAATGAATAGAATCGTAGAACCGTAGAGTTGGAAGGGACCCTGAGGGTCATCTAGTCCAACCCCCTGCAGTGGAGGAATCTCAGTGAGCAGAGTCCCCCAAGTGGTTCAGAAGAGTGATGCGACCTGACCTGGAACATTTTGCAAGGGACCATGAGTAGCATCTCATCCTTTCTGCTGTTGTTTCCCCTGTGTTAAATGGTAGATTGTAAACTCATTGGGCCAGGAGCCTGTTCCTTTGTACTCTACAGCACTGTGCACACTGATTACGTAATACGAACATAGAAAGCTGCCTTAAACTGGATCAAACTACTGGTCCATCTAGTTCAATGCTGTCTGCACTGAGTGATTAGCGGCTTTCCAGGGTTTCACACAGGAGACATTCCCATGAGTCCTACCTCTGGAGATACCAGGAACTGATCCTGGCCCCTTCTACGCAGATGATGGACCATTGAGCTACAGCTCTTCCCCAGTCATCATCACGTAATCTGTCCTGACATTTCGTTGGCCGCCAGTGGGTGATGATGCACAAGCTGCATCCTTGCTGGACACCCCATGTTCAGAAGACACAACAGCCTCAAATCCCACCAACCTGCAAGTCGCTTCCTTTGTTCCAGTCCCTATGGCCAGGATACTAAGATGGGGGCATGAATGGGGAGTTGGAGTAGCTTGTGCAACCAGAGTTCCGCTTGCCGTTCTACCCCTAGCACTAGTAAAGGTAAAGGGACCCTGACCATTAGGTCCAGTCGTGTCCGACTCTGGGGTTGCGATGCTCATCTCGCTTTATTGGGCAAGGGAGCCGGCGTACAGCTTCCGGGTCATGTGGCCAGCATGACTAAGCCGCTTCTGGCGAACCAGAGCAGCGCACGGAACGCGTTTACCTTCCCGCTGGAGTGGTACCTATTTATCCACTTGAAATTTGTGCTTTCGAACTGCTAGGTTGGCAGGAGCAGGGACTGAGCAACGGTAGCTCACCCTGTCGCCGGGATTCGAACCGCCAACCTTCTGATCGGCAAGTCCTAGGCTCTTTCGTTTAACCCACAGCGCCACCCGCGTCCCCCTAGCACTACACAGCATCAAAGAGGCAAGTCTTCTTCAAAGCTGAATAGTGGCTAATCTCTTTTGCAGTGGGAGCTGCTGCAGAGAAGAAGGAAGAACACACACACACCCAAACTCAGCAAGCAAAGCTGTGGCTGGGTGTTCTGCTTTAGTTATCAGATTATATAATGTACCTTTTTGCACTTGGCAATTTCAGAAATGGAAGGAGTGCAGTGACATTGGTCTCTAAATAGTATGATGGTGCAGTTGTGGCCGCCTTTAAGTGACAGATGTAAAGCAGGGAAGGCAAGATGCCAAGAAAGGGATGGTGACATGATAATAATTGAAAAACTGGCCCCATGTTGCAGGTCTCCAGTATTGGAAAGGCAGAAGACTGTTGTACTTGGTCACTCGCTGAGGTATGCACAGACCCACAAGAATTTTTTTACCATTGCCACTTGGTTGCCGCAGAAGAGGTGACACAAGTCTTGTCAATAAACTCTTGTGGGAGGTAAATTATGGAGAGTTAGCGTCCTCTACCGTTTGTGTACTTTGTTGATTGTGTCTCATTTGTGTGTGGGTTGGTCATTCCCTTCCCCTCCATTTGCAGTCCTTCATCTTCACTGATTCAGAGAGAGGTGTAGTTACAGGTAGGTAGCCGTGTTGGTCTGCCGTAGTCGAAACAAAATAAAAAAAATTCCTTCCAGTAGCACCTCAGAGACCAACTAAGTTTTTATTAGTTATTTCAGTGTATCTGAAGAAGTGTGCCTGCACACGAAAGCTCATACCAATAACTAACTTAGTTGGTCTCTGAGGTGCTACTGGAAGGATTTTTTTTATTTTGTTCAGAGAGAGGTGGTGTAGCACAGTGGCTAAGAGACTGGGCTCCAGATCAGGAAGTCTATGGTTTGAATATCACCTCTGCCATAAACTCACTATTTATTTATTTTATTTAAGATATTCATACACCACCTCTGAGTGCAAAAAAGCTCCCTCAAGGCGACTCCCGTAAAGCACTAATACAGAATACAATAATATTGCAAATAAAGAAAGAATTAATAAGCCAGAATTATAATACAGTGGTACTTCTGGTTAAGAACTTAATTTGTTCCAGAGGTCCATTCTTAACCTGAAACTGTTCTTAACCTGAGGTAACACTTTAGCTAATGGGGCCTCCCGCTTCCGCTGCACCACCGCTGCACGGTTTCCGTTCTCATCCTGAGGTAAAGTTCTCAACCCGAGGTACCACTTCTGGGTTAGCGGAGTCTGTAACCTGAAGTGTCTGTAACCCGAGGTACCACTGTAAAGCAAACACTGAGCCCAAAATTAACACCAATTTAACCAAAGCAAGCTTTAGCAGTTTGTTAAGGGGGTTGAGGGTTGTTAAGAGAGACCCACCAATTCCGTTAACTGAGCTACAGTTCCCAGAATGGTTTTACAATCAACCCCTCTTGCTAGGGTTTTCCAGGAATTCTAGTTTTGTAAGGGCAAAAGGAGGTCTCCTAACACCTCTCAGCATCCTAAAAAACCTACAGTTCCCAGAATTCCTTGGGTTGTTATTTATTTCACCAGTTTATATGCTGCTTGCACTGTAGGCTCTAAGCAGTGTACAGCAAGACTAAAAAGACACAGTAAATATAAAATCAGTTAAAACTAATAATAAAATCGGCAATATTACCTGCTGCAATAAGATCTTCATTGGTGCTGCAAGTTCCGCTGTGGTTCCAACTTGAAAATGCTTGTAAAGTGCTTTGAGCACCTGAAAGCCCTATACAGTACAGATATTAAAAATAATTATTTTGTTACCTTAATGAGAAGCGACTTGCCGAGTAGGGTGGAGCTGCTAGGCTACCTTCCCAGCAGGTGGGGTGCTGTTGCTCCAACATCTGAAGGGCACCTGGTTGGCCAATTGCATGAAAGATTTTTTAAAAGTAGTTTGCAAGTGGGACCCCCAATCTGCATTGCCTCTGCTCCAAGGTACTGGATAGGGGGATTTAACCCTGCAATCCAAATGCAAATCGGGGGGAGGGAGGGACTGTACCTGTTACCTGCAATGGGGGGAAAGCTCATATTGGAGCCAATGAGTGCTCCTTATCCTGTACAGTGCGTTTAGTAGGCTCTGGGGACCTGATCAGGGCTAAAGGATGAAGGACCGCTTACTCCTGGGTCAGGTCTCCTGTGCCTGCAATTTACTTTGAAAAATATATCCACAAAGCTGTTAATTGCATGAATGGCATCTTGTCTAGTTTGGCCCAACTGGTGACCACCACCATACTTTGGAGCGGTGAATTCCCCACGTCAGTTACACAATTAGGAATCTATGCCCTGAACTTACTGCCAAAGAGTCAGAAGGATGAAGATTCAGAACTAGTAATTGGCAAGGCACTTAGGGAGCAACCCCATAGCAAGCTCTGCTGGGATGAATGGGTTAGGATCCAGCCGTTCTCCAGCTGAGCCGAGAGTTTCTCAGCAGGCTATGCCGGCTTGTCTTTGGATGACCCAACTGGATGTGCCAAGACTGCTGCATTTTAAGCCTGCATAAGCCCCGGAAAGGGTGTGTTCTTGGGTGCAGGACCAGAGAAGGGGAACTTAGGCTGGATCATATGCCCATTCAGTTTGGTCATGTGACCTGGTAACCTAGTGAAAGTTAAGCTGCCCCAAAGGGTGGTTACAGGTAGGTAGCCATGTTGGTCTGCAGTAGTCGAAACAAAACAAAACAAAACAAAACAATTCCTTCCAACTAAGTTTGTTATTGGTATGAGCTTTCGTGTGCATGCACACATCTGAAGAAGTGTGCATGCACGCGAAAGCTCATACCAATAACAAACTTAGTTGGTCTCTAAGGTGTTACTGGAAGGCATTTTTTTTGTTTTGTTTCGCCAAAGGGTGGTGTAACTCAAACACTATTCGTTGGCCAGGCTTATCCTGGCTCAGCCAGCAGTAGCCCCGCTGCTGAACCAAATTTGGATCTGGTGTAACTTTATATCAGTTGAGCTTAGGCTGGCTGGCTTTATCCCAATTTCTTGTGCATAGGATTGCTTCCCAAGTTCTAAAAATCTTGTTGGCAGCTGTCTGTTTTGGGGGACAATGGAAGATTGCACCTTTGGGGGTAAAGTCAAACCGCTGGACAGCTACAACACCTGCCATGGCTGTAGAAACCGATGCAGGAGATACATGTTTATTGCAGGTGGGGCAGATGAAGGTGTCTTGCTGCTACAGTTACCAAAGAGGTCATTGGGACAGCTCCATTGTGGCTGCCTCCAGCATTGGAGGTAGTATGCCTCTGAATACCCATCGCTGAGGCTCACAAATGGGGGGAGGGCTATTGTGCTCATGTCCTGCTTGTGGGATCCCATTGCTTGCTGTGAGAACTGAGGACTGGACTGGACTGCCCATGGGATGAGTGAGCAATTTGATCCAGTTTTGCATGTAAAGACAAGCCAAAACCCAGCCATCCTTTGAAGTTCAGCCTTCTCTGAATTTTGCAATGCAGTTCTCCAGCCAAGTAATGTGTGCAAGAATGCATATACTGAGGTAAGGTATCCATAGAAATGCTGAAATTAGTGACTATAACATTAAAAAATGCATTACTTTAGGGGAAGCTGGTTTGCAAAAATGTGCGTATTAGGCTGTAAATATGTGATTAGGAGAAATTCGTATTAAATGCCGGTGAATTTTCGCAAGGACTTCTTCATTTAATTGTAAACTGAGGTGGAAATGTGTGGAATTGAACATAAGATTGGAAAAATGAGAAAAGGAGAGAAATCTAAATTGACAGATTTGCTGGATGGCCCTTTAGCATCATCCAACAGGGCTCTTCTATTCTTATGGCACTTGGGAGAATTGAGTTCAGCGTTAGAATATACAATGCAGAGATTACACAGCTGTATATGGCTGTACCTAGCATATGTTGGGGAGAATGTGGCAGTTCCTGTGTCACTGGAGCAACCCACCGGAGCAGTCTTAACATGAGTATGGGATGTCAGTACTTGTACCCATTAATTATGCATACAGCTCAGAGGTCAATCAGTAAACAACTGCTATGGGCATGTGAGGGTAAATCCAGATTCCTCTGAAGATGATGATGGTGGTGGCGGCGGCGGCGGCAGCGGCAGCAAAATGTTCAGGTTCAAGTCATTCTGTGCAGTGGAATTCATCTTTGCAATATAAATGAAGTAAGTGCCAGGGACAGCTCCACTTTTGCATTGATGTACTTTCTAGAACCTTAAAATTCATGCTCAGGAGCCGCAGATGCTCTTCGCCTGGAGCATCTGAGATTGAGATCAACGTCCTTGGCGTCAGAGAAGTAAGCAACATCTGTTATATTTGCAAATGTTAGATGTATGTGTACTAGGCTGGGCCTGAATTCTATAAAGCTCTGAAGTAAATGACGTGCGCTGCTCATTCACACCCCCCCTCTGAACTTTGTACAAATAAATTAGCATTGGGTATTGCGGCTAAGATTTAGCTGTTTCCAGTTGTATTTAAAGTGTGTATGTGTGTGGTTAGTTTAGTTTATTAACTGCATTTATTGCTTCAGTTTAGACTTTAGGGGAAGAGTAATAAGAGAAAAGGGATTCCTTAGGTTGAGTTCTATCCATGCAAGTAAATTATTGATTATTGCATCTTCATTATTTATATAGCACAGAAAATGTTGATAACTAAGTTCTGTGTGCAAAACTGAAACAACCAGCCATGCTGGAAAACTCACAATCTACTTGATGTGAGCCAAGAAGCAAAAGAAATGGTGGAACAATCATGTGACAAAGGAATTTAAAATATTTAGCATTCATATAGAACAGGGATCATGAGGTAGTGCCTTTTAGAGGTCTTTGGACTCCACTTCCCATCAGCCCCAGCCATCATGGCAAATGGTCAGAGATGATGGGAGTGGCAGTCCAGCTTTTGGAGGCCACCACATTGGCTACCCTGATATAGAACTTCCTAATGTTCAAAGCATCACATGCATAATCTATCTTTATATACTGCTGTCAGTGTACATGGCATTCTACAAAGTATGACAGGTCCCCGTTCCAAGGGCCTTAAAGTCTAAAATAGACACAACACGGGAAGGGAAGTGGGAGGAGGCATGGGCAGGCAGCAGGGGAATGTGTTGTTGTTGTTGTTGTTGTTTTAATTCCACCTACTTTGCTAAGTTGTGTATTTATTACCTGCCCTTCACCCAAAGGTCTCAGGGTGAGTCAAAGCATTAAAACACTGTGTTAAAAACAATTTAAAAGAACTGTCAAGCACAGAAATAAGGTGAGTCCTAAAAACATAGGAGAGCCAGGGTAAAAAAAGTGCATCTTCAGCATTCTGCAGAAGCTGTATAACAAGGGTTCCAGATGTACCTCTGTGGAAAGGAAGTTCCATAGCTTAGGGGCTGCAAAAGAGAATGTCCTCTACTGGGCCACCACCCCTGGGGCTCCAAGGGCGGTGGAATGGACCAAGAGGACCCCTCTGCTGATCTCAGCACTTGAGGATCTGTAGGGAAGGAGGCAGTCTTTCAGATATTTGGGGCCTGAGTCATTTAGGACTTTGAACACTAGTGGGAGGACTTTGAATTGAGTCCGGAAACGAACTGGCAACCAGTTCCGCTGTATTAAAACAGGGTTTGTTATATGGGATCTAAATGGAACCCCAACCAGTAATCTGGCTGCTGCATTTTGGACCAACTGAAGTTGGTCACGGTCAGCATTATACTAATCCAGTCTGGAAGCTAACAGAACACGGAGTACAAGGTGTTATACCTGCTTTGGACCAGAGTGATGATTCGAAGTTGGAGATTATATGTGGAAGGGTTGTAGTCAGGTCTGGTACCAGATTATGGGAGGCCCCCAGCAAGGTATTCTCTGAGCTCCCCAACTGAGGTGTTGTGGAATGGCAGGGACGCCAGGGCTGTCAGGATGAGGAGGACCCGGAGAAGGGCACCATCAGCTACTGGGGGCCCTCAGGACTCAAGTCAGGAGACCTCAGCGCTCCTGTGGAACATGAGGATGCTCCAGATGGGCTGGGGGACTAGGGCCAGCAGACGAGCAGGAAGACAGCATGGAATATATAACTGAAGTGGGCACCATACTCTTTCTCCCAAAAGCCTCTGGATTCAAACACAGTGTTTGTACTTTGGTGGGCAGCAGATGCATTTCTGTGTGTGTTTGAAGGGGGAATATGGCTACTCAGTTTTTCCTTTCAGCAATGGGGCATTAAAATGGAAATAGAAATCCTGACTTCTCCCAGTGTGCGCCCTTCTAGAGCTTGTGGACCCTGGTTTATAAATCATGGTAAGAGCACATGCATTGCACACAAATACAAAGGGAAAAAACAACACAGCACAGTATATCTGGAAGAGACCTAAATCAGATAAGGAGAGTACTTTTATACCAAAACAAGAGCCGCAAGTCCCGTAAGGTTTCCATTTTGGGGAAGTTCTGTAACACCCATGTCAAGAATTCCTGAGAGTTGAACCCTTTCAGTTTATTATCCCAGTTCACAAATTCAAGGAAGTACTTGGGTCTTAGCCTTAAGTGCAGTCACTGCCGACATGCTATCTGCCCTTTTCCAAATGATTTCACCGGCTTCCGATTTGATCCCTGAACCTGGCATGTTTTAGCACGTTAACCCCACAGTCCCCAAACAAGCCTACATGCAATATCTGCAGATTAATTAAAAGGAGTCCGTTTCCTTCATAAAGTTTTTCGATTTTTAATGAGTTGTCCTCATCAAATGAAGGAGATGAGAGTGAGGAGTTCAAAATTCAATTATAAAAAGGACCACTGTGATAAGAGAGTTAAATCAGGCAGAAGGTTCGCAATTACACGTGAGCAATCCCATTAGGGTTCAGAGTACACATGCAAGGCCAGTGCCTCAGCTGCTATATGTTGGCATAGCTCTATGAAGCTGTGGGAGCTTTGCTGATTTCTGCAGTAGTATAGATAATATCGCACTGGAGAACATAAACAGTATTTAGTATCGTATATCATCTCCATTCCTTAGCAGCAAAAGATGTTCAAGTGCGGTCAAAATACATCTTCTGACTTCCTCTATTCTGAAACAGCAAATAATTGTTTTTGGAATGACCGTATGTTTTCCATGTAGAAGGTCTCAAGTTCTGTCCTGACGTCTCCTGGTATAGGGTTGGTAAAGATCCCTGTCTGAAACCCTGGAAAGCCCTTGCCAGTCAGTGCAGAGTAGATAAACCAATGCTCTCAGTCCATATAATGCAGCTTTCTAGGTTTAGCCTTGTAGCACCTTAAAGACCATTTGATTTATTATGGCATTAGCTTTTGTGGACTAGCGTCCACTTCATCAGATGCTTGGTGGTTACCTACTTCATCATTTGACAAAACCTGGTGCCTTTCATGATGACAATTTACAGAACAGACTCTAGTCTATGAAAACTTGTGCTCTTTTACACCTACATGCACCTTAAAGACTAATTCAAGGTGTCAAAAGACTCTGTTTTGTTTTTGTGGCAACAGACTAACAAGACTACCTTTCTAAAAATTGCATCCATCCTGAGATCCTTGTGGCCAGCTTATCATTGATGCACCAGAAACCTACATGGATTCATGCTGTGTGTTTTGAATGATAAATGCAGAGAAAACATGGATTCTTATGGCCACATATTCTTCAGAAAATTGATGGGGGCAATTCATTCATGGTAGAAATGTAGAAATGTACATGTGTTGTTGAATTGTTCAAAAAGCTGCCAGTCATGACATTATATCATGCAGGCACCTGGAATAACCCTAGTATCTGAGCATAACATAAACCGCAATCCTATTCATGCTTCTTTGGGAGTAATTGAGCTCAGTGGGGCATACTTCTAAG